CACAAGATTCGGCACACAAGCAGGAGCAGGACCATCTTAATAATTTTGTTGATGATCTTCTATGCTCAACAGAGCGATTCAACGTGGACCAAACATCAAATTTTCAAAAATTTTCTTAAAACTTAAAATATATCAAAAAAATGTGATGGAACGCCATTCCATTGTGTTCTATGACAAAAAAAGCGCTGGTTATTTACATTCATAAACTGCACAGCTACACTAACTTTTTATTATCAGTCATCATGCAAACATTAGTCTGTTTCCTTGCCAACCATATATTAAAATAGTAATAAATTATATTTGAAATGTATTTTTTAATGTGCACTATTGGTCACTTGTGTGTATTCACACACTGCATACCTATCAGAACCAGTCCTGATAGCAACTCCCCCTTATAAAACCAAAATATCTTTAGAACTTTTATATTGATATTGAAATCATTCCCATAAGAAAATTTGTGCACACTATTGATATGCATTTGCAAATTATATCCCAAAAGATATACTAATACTAGTTCTGTAAATATCAAGAAAACACTAATTATATTGACTCTAATTTATCAAATTTATTACACAGATTTACATAGTGAAAACAATTGATATAATTTTATAGTTATTACTAATTTTTATCTAAACTAACTTTGCTGTAATGTGTCTATAAACTCATATTCTTTAAATGATACTTAAATTTGAAAGTGATTTTTGATCAATGCCATTTTCTTAAAATTGATTAACTTTAATTAATTGCTATTTTATTTAATTACTTTTTTTCATTTAACTATGAATAGTCATAAATTTTTCATCATTAATTACAATTACAGTGGAACCTCAATTATCCGGATTGTTCAAATTAACCAAAATTTTACGAATTTGCTGATTTGCACTTGGCGAATTACAATACTGTTTATGTACTGTACGTGATGGAATGCATAGCTTTTTTTCTTTCAACAGCAGCAATGCAGTTTCAACTGCTTTTTATTTTATAAAAACTGTCTTCTTGTGCCTTTTAAACAATAGGTAGTCTGTTAGCGCTGGTCAGTAGTAGTCCAAATTCAATATGAACGTTTGTTTCTTGAAAATTTGATCACGATTTAAATACAGTATTTATTTTTAATATTACCAATATGTCATTGAAAAGAAAACGTGTTGTATTATCATTAAAAGACAAATTAAAGTATTTGTTTTGATTATCCGAATTTTTCCTTATCCGGACTACCTTCACCCCCCCCCATTAGTCCGGATAATCGAGGTTCTGCTGTATTTTAAATTAAAATTAACTAGTATTTATTTAATACTGTACCTTACTTTAGTCAATTTGTTTTCAATTCTGCTTGGTACGGAGAACAGATTCAAGGATTTAATAATAATGATAATGATAATGTAAAATAATAACTAAATTAATTAACATATTTATAGAAAAATATTAATTTTTTATATCAATCATTTCAAGTACAGTTAATAATTTCGTGTTTATGATTTTTCTCAAATTTTAATATAATATATATAGAAGAGTAATTATTTTGTAAACCAACAACACAAGACTAAAAAGAGAGGTATGATTTTTATTTCAATCTTAGAACCTCCTATTTTTCTTCACACTTCTCTTATTATTTACTTAAAACTAGGAAAATTTTAGATTACAATCTTAATATTCAACAGTAGAGATAAAGCCACTTACTGCAGTTAAACTAATAATCCTTTTTTCAGCGATTAATTATTAATCTTTTTTTAAATACAATAAATTTTTTTATTACTAGAATTTTAAAAAACTAAATTTTAATACAAAATTAAAACCTGAAAATAGGCTACTCTATATAATTACAGGTAACCCCCGTATAACACGGTAGTTACGTTCCAAAAAATTGCCGTGTTATACGAATCCGTGTTATGCGAATCAAAGAACTAGTACGAAAAGGAGGGTTAGGTTCCAAAAATTAAAAAGCATGCTACTATATTTTTATAATTAAGATAAATATCTTTATTAAAATTTTCTTAAGTGATACATCTATACTAATATTATAAAGAGGTAATGTTTGTATGTATGTATGTATGTATGTTAGTTTGTATGCAGCAGGTAATCTCCGAAACTACTCATCCGATTTCAAAAATTCTTTCACCAATATTTAGAATGGAACTTCAGGGTGGACATAGGCTGTATATTATTCCGTTAAACATGGGGGATGGACAGTTCTTTACGGTAAGCCTTACGGAGAAGGTTACCGTAAAGAACTCTGCTTCTATTATACTATTTTAGATGCGTGTTTTTGCGTTTTTGATTGCGTTTTAATAAGGTACGTTAACAGAATGTACACTAAGAAAAAATTTTTTGAAAAATTTTCCCCCACGGGGGAAGTGTTATACATTTATAATAGATACATTTTGAGCCACAACAAGGCGTGGCGGGGTCTGCTAG